GGGGGGGGGGGGGGCGGGGGGGATGGGGAGAAGGGGGCAGGGGAAGGGCAAAAGGAGATGTAATTTTTCACCAGGAATGAATGTCCAGGCGGAGGATGCGCTGGGATTCCGCTGCTTTGGGCTGAGGGAGAGGCGGGTGGCTTGGAAGCCATGCCTGGCGGCAGAGCAGGTGCAGCGAGGGAGACCACAGCTGCCAGCTCTGGTGTTGGAGGGAGCCCTCTGGAAGGACGGCCTGGGTGGGGTTGCTCCGCTGCAGCGTGTGGCTTGGAGGGGAGGGGGCTGTCACTGGGGGCTTTGACCTGCCCTCTAGGAGAGTCAACCCCCGCCATATTCTGTTTTGTTTTGTGTTTTTGTTTTCTGCTTCAGTCGCCCACTGCTTCTCAGGTCAGGCGCTCTGGTCAGGCGCTCTGACAGCAGCATTGTTCCAGAGCCCCTAAAACATAAACCTGTGTGTTGAGGGGGTGTCATTTAGGCCCACATGGCCTTGGGAATTCTCTGGGCAATGGAGCCCGGGTGCTCCTGAGGCCACAGAGGTACAGCTGTGGTGAGGCATCTTTCCCTCCTCTTATGCGGTCAGGCAGCGCCTTTTAGCACCAGGCACTGATGGGGGAGAAGGGACCCCTTAAGGCAAAGAGCTGAGGCTCCAGCAACGCCTTCTGCATCCTCCCCAGGGCACACGGACCTGACGCCGTGCTGATGGCCGAAGGCAACCCGCCGACCGAGCTGACGCAGTCGCAGATGCTGCACATCGCGCAGCAGATCGCCGCGGGCATGGTCTACCTGGCCTCCCAGCACTTCGTGCACCGGGACCTGGCCACCCGCAACTGCCTGGTGGGCGAGAACCTCCTGGTGAAGATTGGGGACTTCGGGATGTCCCGGGACGTGTACAGCACCGACTACTACAGGGTAAGCAGCCACGCCCTTGGGGAGACCCTCCTTGTCTTAGTTTGGGGGCTGCCGTAACAAAATTACCCCAGACTATGTGGCTTAAACAACAGAGATTTATTTTCCCACAATTCTGGAGGCTGGACGTCCATGATCAAGGGGACAGTATGGTTGATTTCTTCTCGTGCTTTTCTCCTTGGTTTCCAGACAGCGCCTTCTCTCTCTGTGCCTGACACAGTCCTCTCTCTGTGCGCTCATGCGTCCCCGGTGTTCCTCTGTCCTCTTCTTATAAGGACACCAGTCAGATAGGATTCGGGCCCACCCGACAGCCTCATTTTAACTTAATCACCTCTTTGAAGGCCCTGTCTCCACATGCAGTCACATTCTGAGGTGCTGGGGGTTAAGACGTCAACCAATGACTTTGGGGGGAACAGTTCAGCCCACAGCACCGGGCCACTCTTTCCATGGCTCTCTAGAGCAGGGTGTGACATCTCCAAGAGAAAAGTCCTCAGCATGAGAATTCTGCCAGGGGAACCCAAGGGGTTGGGGGAATTCCTAGTGGGCATGAGGCTAAAGTATTTTGAGGTTTGGATTTGATTTGTGAAATTATGCCTGGAGCCTTTGTTTGAAGTTTGACCTAAGATGAACTTGTTCACATGAATAATAATACATTAGACCTTGGAAATTCCCACACAGAACCTCCTTGGCTGAAAGTGGATTAGCTGGTGGCCATCTTGGTGAGATATAAATGGTTCTGTCCTGCCTGCTCCTGAACAGTCTTCCCCAGCCTGCCTGGGGTTCCCCCACCAGAGGTGCTAAGAGCGAGAGTTATAGACAGGAATTCAGATCCCCTGATTACCTGGAATTGGCCCCTGTGGCATGTTAGATTTGTTAATTGAGATCTTGGCACTTAAGTACGAGAGAAAAGGGATGCGTCTGGAGACCTTGAAGTCTTGATATTCTAAAATGAAGGTTTGGGGTAGTGATTGTTGTTTTGCTTGACTTTCAAGAGGAGAGGAAGAAAATAGGAAGTAAAAGGAATAAATGTGCTGGCTATATATAGCCTAAGAAGATAAAGCACGTAACTCGAGTAAGTTTCGTGACAGGTAGGGCTGGTGAAGAACCTGCCTCTCCTGGCCTTTGCTCTTCCCTGTGTGATTTATTTTGGAGGAGGAGCCTTCTCTGTTTCTTTCCTAGACCCCTCCCTGCAGCCTCCCTCACCTCCAATGCCTCTGATTCTCAGCTCAGTCAACTTTGCTGCAATTAGTCTAAGAAAATGAATCCGTTGCCTTATTGAACATCCTTCTGTAGATTGTTTTGTGGGGCTGCTTAGTTTGTCAGCTTGATAAGCCTTGTCCAATTTTGTATGGAAGAAGGAGTGGAGACCAAATTGTAAAGAATTCTCTTGAGTGTATTTGTAGAAAACACGGGCATGGTCTTAACTTCAGGTTTTCAAAATAGAGTTCGAAGCATGTGTCCTGACTGTAGCAGTATCTAGTTTGTTCCAGATATCTAAAACATGGATAAAGATCTTACCTAGCAATGGAAGCATCTCCTCTGTTAGCTGTGCTTCTGGGTGGGAGGTTGGGGTGGGGGGGGTCTCCCTGTCTCAGGAGACAAAGAAATACATGGGTGCTTCCCTGAGGAAAACACGACTGATCTTGATGAGCGTCTAAGGGAGAAGCATGTGGCCCGAGCAATGGCTTCCTCTGTTTCAGGGAGTTAATAAAGGTTTCAGAGGGCTTGACACAAAATAAGTGCTCAAAAAATGTTCTCAAACTTATCATTCTCCAAATCGATAAAGTTATGATTCATTCCCAAAGCCAAGATGAACCAGGTGGACGCCAATGTCCTCTTCTACAATCTCTAGAAAAATAGATCAGAGGAAAAAGACTGAAAAATTCCACAATAAGAGGACAAATCACCCAATTAAAAAATCAGCGAAGGATTTAAGTAGAGGTGTCTCCAAAGAAGATACACAAATGGCCAGTAGCACATTAAAAGATGCTTGACATCCTTAGTCATTAGGGAACTGTAAGTCGAAGCCACAGGAGATACCACTCCACACACTGGGATGCTGTAATCAAAAGGCAGCCAATAACCCGTGTTAACTAGGATGTGGAGAAATCGGAACCCTCGTAAACTGCTGATGGGACGTAAAATGGTGCAGCTGCTTTGGAAAACAGTTTGGCAGTTCCTCGAAAGGCTTGACACAGAGTCACCAAACCAACAATTCCACTCCTAGGCATATACCTAAGAGAACTGAAATCATATGTTCACCCAAAAAACCTGTGTGTGAATGTTAGAGCAGCATTATTCGTAATAGCTAAAAAATGGAAACAACTTAAGTGTCCATCAACTGATGTATGGATAAACAAAATGTGGTATATTCATACCATGGATTATTCATCAATAAAAAGGAATGAAGTGTTGGTACATGCTACAACATGGATGAACTTTGAAAACATTATGGTAAGTGAAAGAAGCCAGACTCAAAAGTTCACATATCATATGATCCTATTTATATGAAATGTCCAGAATAGGCAAATCCATAGAGACAGAAAGTAGATTAGTGGTGGCCTAGTGCTGGGGAAATGGAGAATGACAAGTGACTACTACTGGATGTAGAGTTTCTTTTTGGGGTGATGAAAATGTTCTAGAATTGTATAGTGGTAATGGTTATTTAGTATATTTATAAATATACTAAAAACCACTGAATGGTATACTTTAAAAGGGTAAGAATTGTAGTAATATAAATTATGTTTTAATGAAAAAAAGCCTGAAAAGGAAAATATTAGCAAAATAGTCACCATGATTATGAAGATAAGAAGCTAGTTTTGGTCATTTACACATTATGAAAACACTCATTGGTCATCTACTATGTTTTCCTATGATTTGCTAAAAAAAAATTCTCCACTTAAGTGACATTTTCCTGAAGTACTCTCTTCTGAATTGGTGGGATGAAATAATGATTCCCAGTTCCTTTATTTGTTAAACGTTCAGGAAACTATCCCAGCCATTAACAAATGTGCTTCAGATGCCACACATTTAACCCCTCCCCGTGGTCACTCTCAGTTGCAGCTGGAGGGTTTGTGTGTTCACTTGGTTCATTGTTCTTCCCACTGAGGATGAGGAAAAAGAACCAGGCTTCCATTAGCTTCTGTTAAAGGTAGGGATGGGCAGCAGCTGATAGGAAAAGGGATGGTGGACATAGGACCTGACAATTTGATAGTAGCCTAGGAGAACAAAGAAATTATGGCTTGTATTCTGCCTTCTCTAAAATTTCAAAGGTGTGGTCCACCTTTTGGTGCCGTGACAGTTTTTCTCATCATAGAACTCATTTGTAGAATATTTTTTCTTATTAAAATATCAAAAGCTTATCAGTGGGGTCCATTCTGTTGACTGGGCACATGGACAAGCAGAAGCTGTTGCTGTTTTACAGGTGAACTCCATGCACCTTGCAGTGGCCATTTCCCTGCACACTGCTGCTGTCACAGAAGCTCTCCACCTTGGATCGTCCACAAGCTTAGCTTTAACCCCTCCCCGTCATGGTGTCTCTTCATCTTTCCTGTTACAGCAGCTGGGGAATGTGTCCTCTTTATAGCTTGGGTTTCCCATTTGCCAGCACCTTAAGTAAGTTTTTCTTCATTATTCTCTTCCTGTGCTCTCCAAAAGCCTACATCAAACCCCAAAGTGGGGAGCTTCTGTAGCTGATGTGGGTTGTCAGCACCAATGTAAAACATTGCTTCTGCCATAGTCATGGGAGAGGATTTTTGTGTTAACCAAGGCTTTATCATGTGGGAGGGCAGTGATTAGGCCTGGAGTCAACTAGACTGAGGAGAAACATGTTCCTTATCTTTAAGCAAGAACCAGTTCCAGTGGCAGCCTGAGCCTTCTGCTCGTGGTGGCTTGTGAGCGGCCTTGTGGGGTGGCCATGGCTCTATGCAATCCGTGGTAGGAGGGGCATGTGGCAGCTGTTTCTCCATCACAGGGGAGCTGGCAGCACCAGGAAATGCCTGCCTCGAGGCTCCCACCCTGTTGCAGCTGAGCTAATTATATCTTCCCAATGAAGGGAGGAATCGGAACACTACATTTGCATTGCAACAGCCTGATATGGCGGGTCCAAAATTACTCCAGCATTTATGTTCTCTGAATTGTTTTAGTTAGCAGCTCTGCAATACCAATCTTTTATTTTGTTTTTATTCTTTCTCTCCACTGGCAAAACCTGACACGCAGGAACTATCTGAAACAGATTTCTGTCACATTCTGCCTGTCAGGCACCTAGGATCTCACTCTATTTGGCCATTACTGTTCCACAGTGGATCCACCGACGTTTTATTAACGTGCGCTTTGGTGGTTTTCCCTATGTGGTTCCAGCATGTGCTTAAAATGAGCATGATCGGTTAGTGAGAAGAGAGCCCTAGACATCGGAAATCCTAGCTTTTAAATCTTGATCTCCTCTGGGCTTTAGTTTTATGTTGGGATGGTAAGAAATTCTATCCTTTAATTCATCTTCCACTTAAAAAGAAAAGAAAAAGAAGCAGAATAGGCAAATTGATTTATGGTGGATATTTAAAGAAGCAAATGAAAATAACTTAGCTAAGCAAGGCCACAGTCAGCATCCTAAAGTGTTGAAATGATATCAGCAACCAAGTCCAGGAGATCACGTGTAGGTCCTCCACACCAGGCTAGACACTGCAGAGGGAAACAAGGCAGGCTGAACCAAAATCAGCTGAGATGACAAGTAGCCAAAAAGACTGACTTGAACTTCAGCACCTTTCTCCTTACCCTGTCCACCTGGAGTAGGAGGGGTGATGAGCTGGAAACACAAGGGAGAGGAGAAGGCTCAGGTATTTTAAGAACAGGACAAGCACATAAGAAATGATCAGGAGTTAACTTTCATACCTTGGTCTTTGAAAAGAATGTGTTTATTTTTTAAGGAATATTTTCATGTAGTGTGAACATTTCTAGACAGGTAGATAAATAGATAACTAGATGATAGGTAGATACGTAGATATTAG